TCCTTGCCTCCTAAAGTGTTAGGATTACAGGTGTGAGCCACTGCACCCAGCTAATATTACTTTATATTTATATATTAACAGTGTAAAATGTATATTCATATGTTAAATGTGTATTATACAATCATTTTATATTTTAACTTATGATTATTTTTTATTCTATTTTAAAAAATCGATTGACTTAGTTAACTTTCACCACTACTATTCAACATAGTACTGGCTGTTCTAGCCAGAGTAATTAGACTAGAAAAAGAAAAGACATCAAAATTGGACAGGAAGAAGAAAATTTTTTCCTGTTCACAGATTATATGATCTTACATGTAGAAAATCCAGGAGATTCTCCCCCGACAGACACACTTATAAGTAATAAGTGAATTAAGCAAACTGGCAGGAAGGAAACTGAACCTGCCAAAATCTGTTACTTTTTTTTTGGAGATGGAGTTTCACCCTTGTTGCCCAGGCTGGAGTGCAATGGCACGATCTCGGCTCACTGCAGCCTCTGCCTCCTGGATTCAAGTGATTCTCCTGTGTCAGCCTCCCAAGTAGCTGGAATTATAGGCATGTGCCACCATACCCTGCTAATTTTGTGTTTTTAGTAGTGACAGGGTTTTATCATGTTTCTCAGGCTGGTCTTGAGCTCCTGAACTCAGGTGATCCACCCACCTTAGCCTCCCAAAGTGCTGGGATTACAGGTGTGAGCCACTGGCCAAAATCTGTTATTTCATTTCTATACTTTGTCACAGAACGACCCAGAATGGATATTAAGGAAACATTTTCTTTCATGTACTTTAAATCATCTTTAGCTCACTTATAATACCTAATACAACATAAATGCTAGGTAAGTAGTTGTTATATTGTGTTGTTTAGGGAATAATTAGAAGAAGAAAAGTTTATACATGTTTAGTATGTACCTAACCATCATAGACCTAACTACACAGTATATGATCGAGGTTGGTTGAATCTGAGGATCCAGAAACCCTGAGTATGGAGGGCTGACTGTAATACATCATTGGATGATAAACAAAATGTATAATATCCGTACAGTGGAATATAATTCTACCACAAAAGCAAAGTGGCAATGCATGCTGCAACATGGATGTGACTTGAGAAACCTATAAAGAAGCCGGCTATGGCCGGGCGTGGTGGCTCATGCCTGTAATCCCAGCACTTTGGAAGGCCGAGGCAGGTGGATCACAAGGTCGGGAGTTTGAGACCAATCTGGCCAATATGGTGAAACCTTGTCTGTACTAAAAATACAATAATTAGGCATGGTGGCGGGTGCCTGTAGTCTTAGCTACTCGGGAGGCTGAGGCAGGAGAATCGCTTGAACCCAGGAGGTGGATGTTGCAGTGAGCTGAGATTGCACCACTGCACTGCTTGGGTGACAGAAAGAGACTCTGTCTCTCTTTTTTTTTTTCCCCGTAGAGACAGGGTTTGACCACATTGGTCAGGCTGGTCTCAAACTCCTGACCTCAGATGATCCACCTGCTTTGGCCTCCCAAAGTGCTGGGATTACAGGCATGAGCCACTGCGCCCAGCTTATACTCTATCTTAAAAAAAAAAAAAAAAGTCAGTACTACCACATGACATTATTCTGATTATATGAAAGTCCATAATGGAAAATCTATCTACAGAGACCGAAAAGATTGCTGGTTATCAAGGGCTGGGGATTGGTGGAGGAAGAATGGGAGGATAGGAGATTGACAGGTAAAAGGTACATGGGCCTTATTTTTGAGGTGGTGAAAATTGACTGTGATCTTGATTGCATATATCTCTGAATATACTAAAAACCATCTGTTAAAAGTATTAGGAGTGTCCAGGTTCATTTCAAATCTGTATAATCTGTACTATTTTTCTTATATTTACCAGTGAGAATAAGACTTCAAGGCTGGATGTGATGGCTCATGCCTGTAATCCAACACTAGGAGGCCAAGGCAGGAAGATCTCTTGAGCCCATGTGTTCAAGACTAGCCTGGGCAACATGGCAAGACCCTGTCTCTACAAAACAAACACACAAATAAGTAAATAACTGGGTGTTGTGGCTTGCACCTGTAGTCCCAGGTACTCCAGAGGCTGAAGCGGGAGGATCCACATGAGCCTAGGTGTTCCAATCTGCAGTGAGTTATGACTGCACCACTGTACAACCATAGCTTAATCAGTGTTGCTTGGGCAACAGAGCTAGTCCCTGTCTCTTAAAAAAAAAAACACACAAAAAAAGCAGTTGCCTTAGAGGTATCATATTCTTACATATTTCAGAATGCTCCAGGGACACGTGTAAAGACTCATTTGAAAGAAATACCCTTCTGGTGTGAAGTGTACACTTGACAGTTTCAATTTTAGATGACTCCCTGCCAGCATATCCTGGTCTACTCTAGTCCTCTTGCTCCAGCCACCCCCAGATAACCAGTTTTGATCACTTTTTGTGCATCCTGTCACTGTTGACATAAAAACAAGCAACTGGGAATGTTTTTTTTTCTTTCCTGCCTTTCTTACAGTAGTGAGTAGTCAAACTCCAGTGCCTAATGTTTGTCTGCCAAGAGCTAAAACCTCCCCGTCCCCCTCTCCCCTTGTGCCCACGCAGGGACCAGCTTTCAAGGAAGCCTGGGGTTCCGTCTTCTGGTGTCTGTCCGTGGAACTCTCATCCAGCCCCAACCCCAACATAATAAATACCCCAGCCAGGCAGCTTCCCTTGCGCTCTCAAGCCATATCATACCTGCTTGATGGCCTTTCCCTGTTCTCCCCAGAGACCTCAATCACGTGAGAGTAATAAGCTTTTTTATGCCCTTTCAGCCTGCGTGAGACACTCCATCATCAGTGTCAACATCAGAGCCACATCTCTGCAGTTGGTGCTGTGAACAAGATGTCTGGACATTAACCTCCATGTAGAGGGGTCTGCCTTTGCTTGCTCCTCTGCTCTGCTGCCTGATACTGGGCATGCACTTTGAGCTGCTGCTTCCTGGGGAACTCCTGCTTTGACCTGTCCTGCTCTGTATTTGTTGTGTTGTTGAGACCCAGCAAATCTGGGCCTATAATCAGCCCGAGTTGATAGTTTGATAATTCCTTGACATTTAGAAAGGGAGTATGGGATTAGAGCCCTCCTTAAAGTGGTCCTGGGTTGCGTGTCTTGATCTGGACCTGTGTCTTTTAGAATGAAGCTATGTGTACTATTGTATTCTGATCCCTTCTACAGGGTGCTGAGGGGAAGACTCTGTCTGAAAGAATAGTTATTATTTTAATTAAAAAATTATTTTTGGAAGCCAGGCCTCTGTTGCCCAGGCTAGAGTACAGTGGCACCATCATAGCTCACTGTAGCCTGAAACTTCTGGGCTCATGCAGTCCTCCTGCATTGGCCTCCCAAAGTGTTGGGAATATAGGTGTGAGCCACTGCACATGGGAGAGGTGTCATTTTAAAAGAAGAGAAAGAAGAGAAGGGGAAAGGCAGCCGTTAGATGGTAAGCTGAGTTCATGCTGTAATATCGGAGGGCTACAGGACCCCTAACTGCTGCTGCCTGTGCCTCTGTCACCACAAGGATCCTGGCTGAGTGCATACTGTAATATCAGAGGGTCACCAGGACCCCTGAGTGCTGCTGCTGCTACTGCTTCTCTCTCTGTCACCACAAGGATCCTGGCTGAGTCCATGCCATGATATCAGAGGGTCACCAGGACCCCTGAGTGCTGCTGCCCCTGCCTGTGCCTCTGTCACCACAAGGATCCTGGCTAAGTCCATACTGTAGTATCACAGGGCCACAGGACCCCTAAGTGCTGTTGCCACTGCCTGTGCCTCTCACAAGGATCCTGGCTAAGTCCATACTGTAGTATCACAGGGCCACAGGACTCCTAAGTGCTGCTGCCACTGCCTGTGCCTCTCACAAGGATCCTGGCTAAGTCCATACTGTAGTATCACAGGGCCACAGGACCCCTAAGTGCTGCTGCCACTACTGCCTGTGTCCCTGTTACCACAAGGATCCTGCTGAGTTCATACTATAATATCAGAGGGCCACCAGGACTCCTAAATGCTGCTGCTGCCACTGCCTCTTCCTCTGTCACCACAAGGATGTTCACTCTTGATACTATAGGGGACAACATCCACATACACCCTATCGCACAGGAGAGGGAGTAGTTCAAACTGAAGCTAATCCTGGAGTCCTTTAAACCTTGTAAAACCATTTCTGCCCTGGAGGAGGCCCATGATTTTGAGGATACAGATGTAAGGCTGGGGGTGGGTAGCTGGGGGAGGGAAATGTGCAAATATTAGGGTAGACAGGACAGCCCGTTTCCCTGTCCCTGATGTATATCTAGAGACAGACAAAACCAACGACCAGTGGAGGAAACAAAGGGAAAAAAGTACTGAAACAGAGGTTCACAATTTTACCCAAGTGGAAATCCAAATACACGAAAAGATTTACACAGCAAAAAAAGATAAAAGGGAACTGCATGGTACTGTGCCTCCCTACCTCAAGAACATAGGTCCTGTTTTTTTGTTTGTTTTGAGACGGAGTCTTGCTATGTGCCCAGGCTGGAGTCCAATGGCTTGATCTCGGCTCACTGCAACCTTTACCTCCCAGGATTCAAGCAGTCCTGTCTCAGCCTCCTGAGTAGCTGGGTCTGGATTATTTTTGTATTTTCAGTAGAGATGAGGTTTCACCATGTTGGCCAGGCTAGTCTCGAACTCCTGACCTCAAGTGATCTGCTTGCCCCAGCTTCCGAAAATGCTGGGATTATAGATGTGAACTACCACATCTGGCCCACAAGGTAGGTTCTAAATTAATACCTGCTGTAATGTGCCAATTAACAATCCTTCATGCTGTTAATCAACATAAAGCACATATTAAACTTATACCTGGTGATCCCACCAAATTTAAGCAAGATAAGCCCTGTAATCTGAGTAATGAATATATAATAAAGGATAAACAGATGTGCCTTGTCTTAGCCGTCAGAATTACTGCCTTGTTTCAATTAATCATGGTCAAATCACATATTGCCCTAAGATATCCTATACTGAGCAGGGTTACTCTAAAATGATCAAAAATAAAAGTTGTTGAGGCTTACAAAGTGGCTTGGCAAGACAGAATTTCATGGACCTTTATCCCCAGTTAAATTTGTTGCTATGGCCCAGTATAAATTAGAAGATTGAAAAGCATCAGAATAACTAAGTGAATAGCAGTAGGGAGTTTGCATGGATGACATTATCACATGTGTACCTGGGGGAGCCAGTGAAGGGTTGCTGCTTTTCATCCCTTAATTGGTAAGTCTGTGATAAACAGATCCAGGGGTTAGCCTGTCTGACCAAACATCAAGCAGTCATCTTAACACCAGCCCAAAATGGGCTCTATCTACAAGTCGGTTTACAGACCTTTTTTTTGAGACACTTTGTTGCCAGCTGGAGTGCAGTGTCACCATCACAGATCACTACAACCTCCACTTCCTGGGTTCAAGCCATTCTCCTGCCTCAGCCTCCTGAGTAGCAGGGATTACAGGCGCATACCACCACACCCAGCTAATTTTTGTATTTTTAGTAGAGATGCGGTTTCACCGTGTTGGTCAGGATGGCCTCGATTTCTTGACCTCGTGATCTGCCCATTTTAGCCTCCCAAGGTGCTGGGATTACAGGTGTGAGCCACCATGCCTGGCCAGTTTACAGACTCTTTGGTGGTTTGTGTGAGACTTTCCTGTTTGTGGTAAGATACCTGAGTATCTCTCTCTTTTTTTTTTTTTTCCTTTTTGTGGAGAACGGGGTATCACTGTATTGCCCAGGCAGGTCTCAAACTCCTGGGCTCAAGCTATCCTCCCCACTCTGCCTCCCTAAGAGCTGTGATTACAGGCATGAGCCACAGCATCTGGTGTATCTCTTATGTCAGATACCCAAAATAGAAATCAAGGTAATACATGTCTTTTATTTTATTTTTTTTTTTTGAGACAGAGTTTCACTCGTTGCCTAGGCTAGAGTGCAACAGTACCATCTCAGCTCTCTGCAATCTCCGCCTCCTGGGTTCAAGTGATTTTGCTGCCTTATCCTCCCAAGTAGCTGGGATTACAGGCATGTGCTGCTACACCTGGCTAATTTTGTATTTTTGGAAGAGACAGGGTTTCACCATGTTGGTCAGGCTGGTCTCGAACTCCTGACCTCAGGTGATCTGCCTGCCTTGGCCTCCCAAAGTGCTGGGATTACAAGCCACCACTCCCGGCCAACCCATGTCTTATACGAAGTCCACAATACAAGGATACTCATACATGTTTAAGTTCCAGACAGTAACCAAGTAACCAAGGTCCTAATTTCACTTCTCAGAATATACAGTGCTGGACTCCAAAACAAGGCATTGGATGGAACCTGCTCTTCTCTTCCCAGTCTCAGGCTGAAGACCTTATTCATCACCCTGGTGGCTTACTAAAATAAGTTCAAATCAGTTGCATGAAAGATGATATGGGCTGGGCATGGAGGCTCAAGCCTGCCATGTCAGCACTTTGGGAGGCCAAGGTACGCGGATTGCCTGAGCCCAAGAGTTTGAGACCAGCCTGGGCAACATGACAAAGCCCCATCTCTATAAAAAATACGAAAATTTGCCAGGCGTGGTGGCATGCACCGGTAGTCCCAGCTCCTTGGGAGGCTGAGGTGGAAGAATCACTTCAACCTGGGAGGTCGAGGCTGCAGTGAGCTGTGATCACACCACTGCACTCCAATCTGGGTGACAGAATGAGACCCTGTCTGAAAGAAAGAAAAAATAACATGGTCCAGTGATGAGTTACTTTTCAGGGGTGGATTGTCATTAGTCTGTCTTCATTTTAACTTTTTGTAACAGATTTTTTTTCAGAACAGTGTTTTTTTTTTGTTTTGTTTTGTTTTAATAGAGACAGGGTTTCACCATGTTGACCACATGGTCTTGATGTCTTGACCTCATGATCTGCCCGCCTCAGCCTCCCAAAGTGCTGGGATTACAGGTGTGAGCCACCGTACTTTTTTTTTTTTTTTTTTTAACAGAGAACAGTTTTAAGTTTACAGAAAAATTGATCATTAAGTAGTTTGTTACTTAATGATCACCTCTCTTTATAGTTTGCCGTATTTTTTATATACTGTATTACTGTGGTACATTTGTTACAATTGAGGAACCAATATTGTTGCATTAATGTTCACATTTTACATTAGAGTTAACTCTACTGTGTTTTTATTGGACTTTGACGATTTTTTTTTTATTTTTGAGGCAGATTTTCGGATTTTTGCTCGTTACCCAGGTTGGAGTGCAATTGTGTGATCTTGGCACACCGCAACTCCATCTCCTGGGTTCAAGCCATTCTCCTGCCTCAGTCTCCTCAGTAGCTGGGATTATAGGCGTGCACCACTCTGCCGGCTAATTTTTGGATTTTTAGTACAGATAGGGGTTTCGCCATATTGGCCAGCCTGGTCTTGAACTCCTGACCTCGTGATCCCCCTGCCTTGGCTTCCCAAGTGTTGGGGTTACAGGTGTGAGCCACCGTGCCTGGAAATGACAAGTGTCTGTTATTTCTGTTAGGGTAGTTTCACTATCCTAAAAATCACCTATAGTCCATATATTCATTCATCCTCCTTTCCATCCTGAAATCCCTTACAACCAAAGACTTTTTAATGTCCCATAGTTTTGTCTTTTGCAGAATATCCTGTAGTTGGTAACATACTGTATATGGCCTTTTTAGATTGGATTCTATCGCTTAGTGATGTACTTTTGTTTTTTTTTATTTTGAATGGAGCCTCACTCTTGCTCAGGCTGGAGTGCAGTTGTGCTATCTCAGCCCACTGTAACCTCTGCCTCCTTCATTCAAGTGATTCTCCTGCCTCAGCCTCCTGAGTAGCTGGGATTACAGGTGCCTGCCACCATGCCTGGCTAATTTTTTTTTTTTTTTTTTTTGAGATGGAGTTTCACTCTGTCACCAGGCTGGAGTACAGTGGTGCAACCTCGCCTTACTGCAGCCTCTGCCTCCTGGGTTCAAGGGATTCTCCTGCCTCAGCCTCCAAAGTAGCTGGGACAATAGGCAGGCACCACCACACCCAGCTAATTTTTGTGTTTTAGTAGAAATAGGGTTTCACCATGTTGACCAGGATGGTCTTGATCTTCTGACCTCGTGATCCACCCACCTTGATCTCCCAAAGTGCTAGGATTACAGGCGTGAGTCACTGTGCCCAGCCAGTTAATTTTTGTATTTTTAGTAGAGATGAGGTTTCACCATGTTGGCCAGGCTGGTCTCAAACTTCTGACTTCAGGAGACCCACTCGCTTCGGCTTCCCAAAATGCTGGGATTACAGGTGTGACCCACCACAGCCACCCTTAAATTTTCTCTATGTCTTATAGCTTGCTATCTCATTTCTTTTTTTTTTTTTCTTTTTTTTTTTTGAGACAGAGTTTCGCTCTTGTTACCCAGTCTGGAGTGCAATGGTGCGATCTCAGCTCACCGCAACCTCCGCCTCCTGGGTTCAGGCAATTCTCCTGCCTCAGCCTCCTGAATAGCTGGGATTACAGGCACGTACCACCATGCCCAGCTAATTTTTTGTAGTTTTAGTAGAGACGGGGTTTCACCATGTTGACCAGGATGGTCTCGATCTCTTGACCTCGTGATCCACCTGCCTCGGCCTCCCAAAGTGCTGGGATTACAGGCGTGAGCCACCGCGCCCGGCCTCTGTCTTATTTCTTTTTGTCAGTGAACAATACTTAATCATGTGGATGAGTCAGGCTCACTGCAACCACTGGTCCCAGGTTCAAGCGATTCTTTTGCCTCAGCTTCCCAGGTAACTGAGATAACAGGTGCACATCACCATGCCCAGCTAGCTTTTTTATTTTTAGTAGAGACACTGTTTTACCATGTTGGCCAGGCTGGTCTTAAACTTCTGACCTCAGATGACCTCAAATGATCCAGCTGCCTTGGCCTCCCAAAGTTCTGTGATTACAGGTATGAGCCACCGTGCCTGGCCTCTCCTATGTTCTTTTGAATTTCCTGTCAGATAAGGGTGAGAGGAGTGTCTTTTGTTCTACTAAAGTGATTCTTGGTGAGCTCTTAGACAGCTTCAGGCTGGGGGTTAAGTCCTCAGAATCACCAATCCTTGATCAGAGGCTTGGAACTTTCAGCCCCAACCTCTAACCTCCATGGAAGATAGAAGAGCTGGAGAATTAGCTATTCACCAGCAGCCAGTGATTTAATCAGTAATTCCTGAGTAATGAAACCTCCATAAAACTCCTAGATGAATGGGTTCACAGTGCTTCCAAGTTGGTGCTTAGAGAGTGTTTAACCTGCAAAGGCACAAAATCTCTGCGCCCTCCTAGTCCGTATTCTGGCCTATGCATGTGTTCCATTTGGTAGTTCCTGGCTTGTATTTATAATGAACTGATGATACTAAGTTAAGTGTTCTGAGAGGTGTTACCTATTGTGAAAAGGTGTCATGGGAATCCTCAATTTAATGTAATTTAATCTAATTTTTTTTTTTTGAGACAGGGTCTCGCTCCATCGCCAGGCACCAGGCTGGAGTGCAGTGGCAGGATCTTGACTCACTGCAACCTCCGCCTCCCAAGTTCAAGCGATTCTCCTGTCTCAGCCTCCCGAGTAGCTGGGACTACAGGTGCGCACCACCACGCCCAGCTAATTTTTTGTATATTTAGTAGAAATGGGGCTTCACCATGTTGGCCAGGATGGTCTCAATCTCTTGACCTCACAATCCGCCCGCCTCAGCCTCCCAAAGTGCTGGGATTCCAGGCGTGAGCCACTGTGCCAGGCTCTAATCTAATTTTTTGAGACGAAGTCTCACTCTGTCACCCAGGGTGGAGTGTAGTGGTGTGATCTTGTCTCACAGAAACCTCCACCTCCCGGGTTCAAGTGATTCTTCTGCCTCAGCCTCCCAAGTAGTTGGGACTACAGGCACCCAACACCATGCCTGGCTAATTTTTGTATTTTTCGTAGAGACAGGGAACTAAAGTGAACTCAAGCGATCTGCCTGCCTCAACCTCCCAAAGTGCTGGAATTATAGGCATGAGCTCCTGTGCCTGGCCAGTATTCAGAATTTTTTTTGTGTGTGTGTGAGACAGAGTCTTGCTCTGTCGCATAGACTGGAGTACCATGGTGCAACCTTAGCTCACTGCAGCCTCTGCCTCCTGGGTTCAAGCAATTCTCCTGCCTCAGACTCCTGAGTAGCTGGGATTACAGGCACCCGCCACCACGGCTGGCTAATTTTGTATTTTTAGTAGAGACAGAGTTTCACTATGTTGATCTGGCTGGTCTCGAACTCCTGACCTCGTGATCCACCTGCCTCGGCCTCCCAAAGGGCTGGGATTACAGGTGTTAGCCACTGCTAACATTCTAATTCTAAATATAGCACCCAGCTATATTTAGAATTTGATAAAAGTTAGGGAAGCTATCATGTTGTTCTTCGGAAGACTTTGACCATTGTTAGATATTCATTATTCCAGCTACGTTTAGAGAAGTACTTTTTGTTGACTCTTCAACAGTCTTTAGGGGATTTATAGAATTTAAGAAATATTTTGTAAGAGGCTATCTTGAGGACATTTGACTCTTTCTGAGAACCATCTTTCCAGCCAGGCATGATGGTTCACACCTATAATCCCAGCCCTTTGGGAGGCTGAGGCAGGATTTTGAAATGAGGTTGGGCAACATAGTAAGACCTCATCTTTACAAAAAATGTAAAAATTAGCTTGGTGTGGGTTGTAGCTACTTGGGAGGCTTGGGTGGGAGGATCACGTGAGCCCTGGAATTCAAGGCTTCAGTGAGCTATAATCATGCCACTGCACTCCAGTGTGGATGACAGAGCAAGTTCCCATTTCTATGAAAACTAAAAGAACCCACCTTTGCCCTTATTTTATTTTGCGTTGACATTATGCAATGTAATATCACATGGTGACTGGTCAGGAATCATTTCCTTTTGAAGTTTGCGAAAGAGGATTTTATGTTCTTTTGGAGAAGAGCACTGCTGATCCCTTCATGTATTTTATAATGGTTAAATTCGGCCGGGTGTGGTGTCTCACGCCTGTAATCCAAGTACTTTGGAGGCCAAGGCGGGCGGATCACCTGAGGTTGGGAGTTCAAGACCAGCCTGACCAACATGATGAAACCCCGTCATAAAAAAAAAAAAAAAAAAAGAAAAATGTAATGGTTAAATTCACCATCAAACTACCTGGACTTAAATCCCTCAGAAATTGCAACTCTTAACCCCTCAGAAATTGTAACTCTTAAACTGTTCCTCAAGGTCAGCAAGGCATAGGATACTTTGTTATGTATCTGCCAGAAAAAGCTCTTCTGGCATTTTGTTGTCTTAGTATGTATGCATATATAAGATAAAAATAAGTGGAAAACTGCCCTGATGCTCTTGACTATGGAGATTTTGCTGGGTGAGGGGGCACAGCCTAAGTTGCCGTGCCTTCTTCCTCATACCTGATTTCTGTCTTCCCAATAGCCTAATGAAATGGGACAGAGTAAAAGGAATAACTGAGTCTATAATATTATACATGCAGGTTAAAATGAGTGCTTTTGCAGAGGAATAATTTGATTTGACCAACTTGACCTGTCAATGTCTAATGGCCTAGAATCCGTCAGGAAAGTGTGGTCAGCTGGATTTGACAGAAGGTGGATTTCTACCGGCCTTATCATGTTTATTAAAGGGAACAGAACAAAATGGTTCCACTTCTTCAGTGTTTATTATTCATGGAAACCTTTTTCAGGTTTTACTCTGTGTTTCTTTTTTCTTTCTTTTTTTTTTTTTTTTTTGAGACGGAGTTTCACTCTTGTCACCCAGACTGGAGTGCAGTGGCACAATCTCGGCTCACTGAAACCTCCACCTCCCGGGTTCAAACCGTTCTCCTGCGTCAGCCTCCTGAGTAGCTGGGATTATAGGCGCCCACCACCACACCCGGCAAATTTTTTGTATTTTTAGTAGAGACGGGGTTTCACCATGTTGGGCAGGCTGGTCTTGATCTCCTGACCTCAGCTTGTCACCCCAAAGTGCTGGGGTTACAGGCGTGAGCAACTGTACGCGGCCTACCCTGTGTTTCATGGATTGCTGATTGATACGAGATATGAAAGGAAATGGAAGTTTTTCTCAGAAGGAATGATGATCTTAAAATTTGTTTTCTTTGTATGGCGTTTTATTTGTTTCTCAAAGGTGAACTGCATCCTGCCATTAGAGACCAATAAAACTTGTAGTGACCACAGTAAAAATGTAGAGATCAGTTGTATGTTTTCATGTGGCTATTAAGTTCATTAGAAAGTGAATGTGGATAGAATTCTGACGACCATATTTATTTATTGCAGGATCCAGCCCTGCAGGGTGTAGTGGGTGTTCTTTTGTGTGCAGAGACAGTAGATCGTAGAAAAGAAAGAATCAAGGACACAGAGATAAGAGAAGAATTGAGCTGGGCTCGGCAGACCACTGCTACCAAAGAGAGGCAGATTCCAGCAGTGGCCCCGAATGCCTGGACGTGCTGATATTTATTGTATACGAGGCAGGGGGGCAGGGTCAGGAGAGTGACTCATCTGACATGATTGGTATGAGTCAAGCAAATCACATTTTTACAATAACGGGGGGGTCCACGTGGGCACAGCTCAGGAGGTCACATGGGTACAGTACAGAGGGTCCCTCTCTCAGGTAGCCACTGCAAGGAGGGGAGGCACTTACATCAGTATCTTTTTATGCACTTATCAGAGAGACCAAAGGCTTTTAGGCTACCTCTGTTCTTCTCACAGCTTCTAAGAGTTTACAAGGGAGCATCTGGTGGGAAAGTGGAACATGAAAGTGGACGAGGATGGTGACCATCGGAGTACAGCACCACGGAGAGGTGTTTAAACCCCTGGATGTCTGTGGGCCAGGCTGGCTAGTGTCAGACCTTCCTCAAGACCTAGCAGAGCAGAGTTTTCTCTGAACTCTCCAGTGAGAGGGAAACTCTCCCTCACAATGTGCTAAGTAACGGGCGCCTCCCCAGATGCTGGCGTTACCACAAGGCTTGCCGGCTAAGTAGCAGGTGCCTTCCCAGGTGCTGGCATTACCGCAAGGCATTTACTCTCACCTCCTGATCACTTCTCACAATGTCCCTTCAGTTCCGAATTACATTTCACTGGATTATGTCTATACTATAAGACTAAAATGTTCCTACACTAAAGCAAAGATTAATAGCGAATAATGATGTAATAAGATTGATTATATAATTATGTGATTGAATCTGATATCTACTTGGTGTCATTTCTATAAGTAATTGGAAATTATATCATTGCTATAACTAAGTAATCAGTAAATCTGTTATGTTGGGATAGATTGTGCCTTCAGTCTCTTGCCATGGCACCTGGGCAACTTTGTTCCCACAATCTATCGTAAAATAAATGTTTGGAGACGGCCACATCACTTGTGAACTTTTTTGTTTGTTGGTGTTTTTGTTTGAGATGGGGTCTCTGTCGCCCAGGCTGAAGTGCAGTGGCATGATCTCAGTTCACTGCAATGTTCACCTCCTGAGTTCAAGCGATTCCCTGCCTCAGACTCCTCAGTAGCTGGGATTACAGGCATTTGCCACCATATCCAGCTAACTTTTATATTTTTAATAGAGATGGGGTTTCACCATGTTGGCCAGGTCTCAAACTCCTGACCTCAGGTGATCTGCCTGCCTTAGCCTCCCAGAGTGCTGGGATTATAGGCATGAGCTACTTCACTCAGCCATTTGTGAACTTTGATGAATTGATTACATCCCTGTACTGTCATCTCACCCTTCCTCCTGCATTGCATATTTGGGATGCTTTAGGACTCAGTGGCCTCTGAAGATGTGGCTGTGAACTTCACACTTGAGGAGTGGGCTTTGCTGGATCCTTCCCAGAAGAAACTCTACAGAGATGTGATGCGGGAAACCTTTAGAAATCTGGCTTGTGTAGGTAAGGATGACATCATTCTTTCTCTTAGTCAATTAGAGAAGAAGTATTTCTTGCTCTTTAATGCTGTTTCATTATATCAGATGTGGAAAAGGGAATACTTGGGTGAATAAATCAGAACTGTTTGTACCTCTTCATGAAGTTAGAATTTAGTCGTATTTCTGTAATTTCTATAAGTTCATAAGGATTTTTTTCTGACTATATTTTAGGGAAAAAATGGGAAGACCAGAGCATTGAAGATTGGTACAAAAATCAGGGGAGAATTTTAAGGTAATTTGCACTGATAAGAGAAAGCAATGTCCCCTTCTTGGTATGTCATGAAATTTAAAAAATAAGGAAACAAACCAATAAGCCCCAGCTTCAAATTTATTTATTCAGACAACTTTTTTCAACAAAAAAGAGGAAAAGTGTGACATAGATGTTCAGTGTTGCAAAATCATTCACTTGGAAATAGTGTTAAAAAACTGGGCTGGGTGTGGTGGCTCATGCCTGTAATCCTAACACTTTGGGAGGCCAAGGTGGGCAGATCACAAGGTCATGAGTTTGAGACCAGACTGGCCAATATGGTGAAACCCTGTCTCTACTAAAAATACAAAAATTGGCCGGGCATGGTGGCTCATGCCTGTAATCCTAACACTTTGGGAGGCCGAGGCAGGTGGATCATGAAATCAAGAGATTGAGACCATCCTGGCCGACATCGTGAAACCCTGTCTCTATTAAAAAAATACAAAAATTAGCTGGGTGTGGTGGTGTGCACCTGTAATCCCAGCTACTTGGGAGGCTGAGGCAGGAGAATGGCTTGAACCTGGGAGGCGGAGGTTGCAGTGAGCTGAGATAGCACCACTGCACTCCAGCCTGGCGACAGAGCAAGACTCTGTCTCAAAAAAAAAAAATTAGGGCTGGGCACAGTAGCTCATGCCTGTGATCCCAGTGCTTTGGGAGGCCGAGTCAGGCAGATCACAAGGTCAGGAGTTCGAGACCAGCCTGGCCAACATGGTGAAACCCCATCTCTACTAAAAATACAAAAAATTAGCTGGGTGTGGTGGCAAGTGCCTGTAATCCCAGCTACTTGGGAGGCCGAGACAGGAGAATTACTTGAGCCCGGGAGGCAGAGGTTGCAGTGAGCTGAGACTATGCCACTGCACTTCAGCCTAGGCAACGGAGTGAGTCTACATCTCAAAAAAAAAAAAATAAATTGTATATATGAATATCACTTTTTTGATAATAGCTACTGTCATGCCCTCTTGCAGAGCATTCCATCCCATTTACTTTCAAACCACAGAGGACTGAAAACCTACCCTTTCCCCCATTATGGTAAAAATGTAAGTCGAATACCTATTAATAAATATAAAGTTGCAAATAAACCACTAAATCATGCTTTCTATTTTTTCCAGCAATCATGCGGGAGTGGGACTCAGTGAAAGTAAAGAACACGATCAATGTGGAGAAGCCTTCAGTCAGGTTCTTAATCTTAATCTGAACAAGAAAATTCCTACTGTGGTAACACCATGTGAATGTAGTTTGTGTGGGAAAGTATTCATGCATCATTCATCCCTTAGTAGGCACATCAGGTCTCACGCTGGACACAAACCATATGAGTATCAGGAGTATGGAGAGAAACCATATAAATGTCAGCAGTGTGGGAAAGCCTTTAGTTCTTGTCAATCCTTTCGAAGACATGAAAGAACTCACACTGGTGAGAAACCTTATGCATGTCCGGAATGTGGGAAGGCCTTCATTTCTCTCCCAAGCGTTCGAAGACACATGATTAAGCACACTGGAGACGGACCATATAAATGTCAGGAATGTGGGAAAGCCTTTGACCGCCCCAGTTTATTTCAAATACATGAAAGAACGCATACTGGAGAGAAACCCTATGAATGTCAGGAATGTGGGAAAGCTTTCATTTCTTTCCCAAGTTTCCAAAGACACATGATTAGGCACACTGGAGACGGACCTTATAAATGTCAGGAATGTGGAAAAGCCTTTGACCGCCCCAGTTTGTTTCGAATACATGAAAGAACTCATACTGGAGAGAAACCC